TGCCCAGGGCAATGAATTTGGGCACTATTCCCGGCGCCTTCCTCTTATGCTCTTCTCGTTTCCTGCTTCCCGGCCATCACAGTGGAAGTGGCTTCGCTTCACTCTTTCTCCTCACTGCGACGTCCCGACCGTGGAGTCGCCTGACCCTGGACTAAGCCCTCTAAAATTATAGTCAGAATAAGCCTCTCATTCTTCAAACTGCGGCTGGTGGGTATTTTGTCCCAGCAGTGGGAAAGCTGACCAATACACTTTGAAAAACTTTTTCATCTAGAAATTTAATAAGTATGTAACATGATTTGAAGTAATTATCTGATAAATGAAAGCACTGTACATAAAGCTATGGTATGCTGGCTATAATTTTCCTTTATGTGGACACTTAGTTATCAGTTAAATTTTGAGTACGTTCATTCAAACCATTTGGAGTTTTTATTTATTTATTTGATACAGAGTCTCCCTATGCAGTTCAGACTCAGAGTGATCCTCCTGTCTCAGCCTCCCGGTGCTGGGATTACAGATGTGCATCACCACACCCAGGATTCTGGGGCCAACGTGGCATGTGGTAACAGGGATCAAATCCAGGTCCTTGTGTTTGCTAGCCAGGTGCTTAGACCACCAAGCTATCTCCCCAGCCTGAATTCTTGTGTTATTCTAATCCATATTTTCTATAAGATTAGCATAAACTTTGTTAATCTGCTAACTGAAATTTTGACATATGTCATACTTATGATATTTTCCCAGCATGACATTTAATATACTTCTTTTAAATAAGATTGATTTCAAAGAGCATCGATTACATTTTTAAAAGTGCTCTCTCTTCTAATTATTGCTACTTCTGTCTAATCACTTATGAAACATGAATTTGATCAACTGCAGCAGAATTTTTTTCTGAAAGGTCACTTTTTTCTCTCTTAACAATTTTGTCAGATTTTTAAAAAGATCTGTTCATGTCTACTTTTCTGATCTTTCAGTTTCTATTAAACATTACATATTAAGTTCAACAACATATCAGTTCAATTAATCTTTTTTAAAATTAAGCTTTTTGGGGCCGGGGAGATGGCTCAATGGAATAAGTGCTTCCTTGGCAAGCACAAGGGTCTGAGTTCAATCCCCGGTTCTGCCAAAAAAAAAAAAAAAAAAAAAAAAAAAAAAGTGAATTCACAATTAAAGTCTTTCCACATAAGAAATCTCCAGGCTCAGATAGTTTCCCTGGAGAATTCTAAAATTAAAAAAAAAATTAATAAAATTAAGCTTTTTGACTCATTTTAGATACATATAAAGGGGCTGGGGAGATAGCTCAGTGGTCTAAGCACCTACCTGGAAGGCACAAGGACCCAAGTTCAATCCTTGGTACTGCATGACATACCTGCCCCAGAACCCTGGGCACGCTAAGCTGGCTCCAAAACCAGGCGTGGTGGTGCTCGCCTGCAATCCCAGTGCTGAGGAGGCTGAGACAGGAGGATCACTATGAGTCTGAACTGCATAGTGAGACCCTGTATCAAGTAAATAAATAATAATTTTTTTTAAAAATTATTTTTCCTTTTTCCTTCATTCCTTTCTCTCTTCCCCACCCTAGTCTTCCCTATTTTTTAACCATTTCTTCCCCTTTCTTAACACCTTATTTACTCTCCAGTTTATCACACCAGCGAGACAACACGATGCTTGCACGTGTGAGTCTGATTCGCTTCATTTGAGAGTACTGAATCCAGTTGCTTCCATTCCCTAGAAAAGTCTCCAATTCATTCTACTTTGTGCTTAATGTCCTGACGACAGCCATTCTTTCTGGAGCGAGATGCAATATCAAGGTTGCTTTAATTTGCATTTCTTTAATAACCAGTGATGTTGAACAGCTTTTTAATACTTAAGAGTTTAAGAAACCCACATATTGTATATTTTATGACTTTTCAAAATAATGAAGCAGAATATTTCATTATATAAAAATACTCTATACCTTCTGCATCCTTTCATTGGTTGATGGCCATGGGAGTTGTTTCCAAGACTCAGGTAGTACAGACTGTGGTGCTCTAAACGCGGGTCAGTCCACAGCCATACCGCCCCGAACGCGCCCCGTCTCGTCTAAACATGGGTGCGTATACCACTGTGGAATGGTGTTTTTAGTTCTTCTGGGAAGACACCGGAAGGAGAACAGCTGGGTCAAATGGGACCACTAAGCCTAGTTCTTTGAGGAGTCTCCACACTGATTTCCCAGTGGTTGCACCAGTCTGCACTCCCACCAGCAGTGGAGAAGGGCTCCTCTTCCCTCCCCACAGCCCTTCCTGCATTTGTTATCGGCTGACATCTTGGTGATGGCCACTCTTGCTGGGGTGAGATGGAATCTCAGTCTTGATTTAATTTGCATTTTTTGGATGACCAGTGATGTTGAACATTTGTGAATATTTAAAAGTTAAAAAAACCCACATATTGTACATTGTACTACTTTCAAAATAATGAAGCAAAATATTCCAAACATATATGGCACCTACAATGTGCTAGCAAGTGTGCTAAATGCTTTCTGTGTATCTATAATTTTTTAAAAATAAAAACCCTACAGTGCTGGTATCATTGTACATCATTTTGATTTTATAGATAAGGAAATGGCTACAGAGAGGTGTAGTAAATTGCATGCGACCACACAGCTAATGCAGAAGTGAGGCCTGCCTGGACCAGAGTCTGGATCTGGCACCTTAACTCTTTTTGCTACAGAAAGCTACCTTGCCAAAAGCAAATGTACTCGGTCACTCACTCAGAATTGAGTTAGAACCAATAAAATTGCCCCTTTCGCCTCTCACATGATTTATACGAACAACAGGGTAGAGAATCCGTGGCTCAAAATAACCGAGATATGATTCACATGCAATCCTAAATCTGCACAGTGTTAGGGGACTTCAGGACCGTGGACATCAGGTTCTATGACTGTGACAAGTCGGTTAATCTTCAGAGCCTTCGCAGCTCCTCTGTGTCAAGTGCGCTGCGAAGCTTTGGGGAAACGTGAACAAAAGAGTCCCAGCTCTCAGGACATGCAGTACTTCCCGGCAGAAGACCACAGCAAGCTCACCAACTGTATCTCATGGTGTCTCGCAAGGTGTGCTTGAGATCCTGACTTAGACTGGATCACTTGGAAGTTTCCTCAGGCTCCATGCTGAAGAAAGGCAAGGAGCGAACCTGGGAGAAATGGAGGCGGCAAAGAAGGAAGGGTTCTGGCAGCAGAACCAGCTGCAGCAAAGGCCCGAGCTGAGAAGAGGTATCTGTCTGGAGACAGAGAGACCCTCGTGGCTAGTGTGAGCCTGGAGCAAGAATAAATCATGGCGACTCTGCTGAGGGCTTCGTAATTTCCCTAAGAGGCCTGGTAAACCACTAAGGTTATAAGCAAGAGTGACACAGCTCGATTTACTCTGTAAAGAAGATTACTTGTGTTTCAGTGTGGGCAATGTGCAGAGGCAACAGAGGCAACAGAAGACGTGGAGGACCAGAGCAGAAGCCCGGTGGGGAGCGGTGATGGCAGCCTGGGAGGATGTGCGGGCCGGTGAGAGAAGCGGGCGCTGGGGAGATCTGTGCTGGTGGCACAATGCTTTATGAACAGAGAGAAATGTCAGCTATGAAGTGTTCCTGTGATGAGTAATCTCACAGCTGTGCAAATGCCTTATCAGCTGCAGAATGCGCAACAGAGCATTACACTGATGGAGCACCAGGTTCTGGGGGAAGCCTAGCTTCCCCGAAGTCACCTGACCTCTCCATGGCCAGGAGGAGGGAGGGACAGTAGTCTGCTTAAGATGCCCTCACTCCTGTTTCTGGGGTGTTCACCGTGGAAAAGGAAAGAACACTCGTGAGCAGGTCTAATGCTCTTGTCAGTGAGCCTCTGGAGGAGTCTGAGTAACGGCAGCTAGGCTTTCCCTGGAAGGGTCACCTCTAGTGAACAGAACCCGGATCCTTGTGTCATGCCACATCAGCTACCCAGCTCTCTGGGGGAACAGGGAGATGGCTCATGACCAAATGCCTCTGCTGTGCAGCAAGAGGTGACCCTGTGGTATTCTGGGTAAGGGGTGTGTGTCCAGTGCGGGCAGACAGGACCTGGGGAACTGTTCTTGGGACCCGGATTCTTAATGGTGTATGAGCATATGGACTGTTCTACCAAAGGTACAGCAAATCAGCCAAAGTCAGATCTTGTGTGCTGTTCTGTCGCACACACCTGTTCTCAGGCCGCACTCTTCCTATGCTCCCTGCTAGCTTCCATACAGTATCAGGCCCAACAACACTGCCCAGGGGTGAAGGGAGTCAGGCTTGGTTACATGCGAACCCCACGCTAGTGGCAAGGTCTGATGTTGATCTGATATGTCAGATGTCTAACTACTGGGAAAACTAACTTTTAGAATACTTATACAGTTGAAGAAACATGATATATTTTCCATGTGACCAAGAAAACTGAAAGGAAATAATACTGGGGTGGTGACTCCTGAGATTACCCCAGGACCTGAAGCAAGCCTTCTGGTCTCCAGCGACTGCTGAGCAACTGTTTTAGGATTATCTGGCTGTCTGGGTGCTCTCCTCTCCCCCTGCCCAAATGACAAAGGATCTGCAGGATCCAAAGTACTGCTTGGAACATCACCCCCAAGCTAATCGAGGTCCTCTTAGATCATGGGGTACTTTTTCTTCTTTTTGAGGAGTGCAGTTTCTCTTCACACACAATTTTGTTTTGAAACTTGGACAGGACGATAAAGGAAAACTGTTACTCTAGGTGGATGGGAGGGAAACCTTTCCATTCTCTGCCTCATAATAAACTCCATTTGTACCAGAGGCATCAAAGACAGACTCAGCACAGGGCCTCACACCCTACTCCTGGTACCAAACCACCCCTCACGAACTGAGCTGTGACAGATAAAGCAGCACGCGTGGTCAGGGCTTCCTCTGGCAGATGCTAACCAGGAGGAGGCTAGAGGCTTGTGCCACAGCAAAGCCTCTGTCACTGCTTCCCCAGAACAAGCTCCTAACCGGAGCCTGATGTTTACCTTCAGCGAGCGGGTCGAGGGTGTGAATCATCAGCTGGAAGATGCTGTTTCTCATGAGGCTGTTGTGCAGGGAGGCAGAACTTCCGCCCCGCTGCAGGCGGGGCTTCGCCTGAGTGGAGAAAGCAAAGAGGCTGTTACTTTCCAGCAGAGAGCGTTACTGATAAGCTTCTCGCCCTGCCTGGCAGCCACTCATCGCTGACACACAGGCATCCACTTCCGAGCCAAAGATTTTCAAGCGCATTTCAGGCTTCCAGAGGAAGTGGCTTTCTTATGACCTTTCTTGCCACGTGAATCTACTGCTTCCAATCATTGTTTTAGAGCTTAGTGAATACCAGGCAATGTGCTGCATGCTTCGCACTGTTCAGCTCATTCTCCAAACTTTAGGTGGATGAGGAGGTTCCAGAGAAGTCAAATGAGGTGTCACGCAGACGAAAGGAGAATAACAGAACCATGGGTTTCAGATTTGCTTTTCTACAAGTCTCTTACTAAACTAGGGGTATTCGCTGAGTTTTCTGAATGAGACGCCTGTTAGCACAATGTTTGAGTGTGCATATTTGTACCTTTACCAGTACTCATATTTTATAGACACAGTAAAGTACAAGCACCTAGAACATTTTTAGGAAGTAGAGAAAGCAAATGAGAGCACCACTGCTTCCTCGGCTTCCCAGGGGAGCGCCGCGCCCCTCTCCGGCAGAACCACATCGCCGCCTCGGGAGCACTATGGTCCGTGTAAGCGACGTCGGGAGAAACGGAGCTTCGGGTCGTGAACGGTAGAGAGGGCACGGGCTACCATCTTTTGCCCAAATAAGTGGAACTGAAATGTGAGGAGCCCACTTCTGAGGAAAAAGTTGCCCCCAACTCTTCCATTTTTAAAAGCAGTCTTAAAAGAAGCTCCATCCCACACCCACTGTATTTCAACAGATTTTCATCCTAAGTAGAAATTCCTTTCTTCTCTGCTGGTCTTGCGCTGCTTGTCACAGGGCAAGATCCTTAGAGGCTGCCAAGCTTTTCAGATGATCTAAGGTGAGCAGGGGTGTGATGCACAACTTATTGAAATTTAGTTGAAAAGCTTCATATGAAATAAAATGCTATTTTCCTCTAAGGTAAAAATAAAATGCTATTTTCCTCTAAGACTTCCAACTGTCTACATTGGTGGATTTCCCCAAATATTTGATATCTTAAAGCTGAAAGGGGCTCTGAACAAAAATCCCCTTAGAGACCCAATCACTAAACATACTTTCAAAGTGCTACACTCTAGGATTCATCCTGAGACTTTCTAGGCACCCATTAGACCATTATGTCTACACTAAAGAATATGATTAACTCGATTAACTTGGGCAGTGCCTTCAAATTATTAACCTTATTTTATTTATTTATTTTTTATTAACCTTATTTTAAAGGTCAAACTATTGCTCTTTACTTAAAAAATATTAATTATCATGGTCCAAACCTTTGGTGCAAACATGAAATCCATGGCTATCCTGAAATATGAGTAAATTCTCATTATGAGATATTTGGAAAAATTGGACCTTCTTCCATGTGAATTTTATTATTTTATTTTATTTTATTTTATTTTATATTTTATTTTATATTTTTGTGGTACCAGGGATCGATCTCAGGACCTTGCACTTGCCAGGCAAGCACTTATTCCAGTGAGCTATCTCCCCGGTCCAATTTTATTTAATTGATGGTCTATTAAAATTATATTCTCAACCCAACAGGGTTGAGAGAAGAATCAGAGGGGACTGCTGATGCCTCTGTGTTGCGGGAGAGTCCGGGCTCCTCAGCGGGAGAGATTGAGGGTTTTCCCCACAGTCTGGTAGTGTGTCTGGTGTGTCCTGTGCACCCTTAAGGGACTCCTTATTTCTTTGCTCTGAGTATTGCATGAGGAAGGATCAGGTTATGTCTTCATTACTATTAGTCTTTTTAGAATTAAAAGTCTATAATTTTTTAAATGCATTGTGTTATTTAGTTCTAGTGGATTCAAATTACTAAGGTTCACATATTTTCGAGGCAAGGTTGGGAAACCTGACAAGACCAGAAATACCATCACTGGTGGCTGAACACAAAACTCAGTTCCTTTCCTTGCCACGCTGCACAGCCTGCAATGGGTGTGTTGGCGGGATAGGAAGCCGAGACGTGCTCTTTGTTACTAACTTAGCCGCTGTTCCCACGGTCCTTATTCTGGGGAAGTGGAAGAGCAGTGCTATGGGTGTCTCCTTCAAAAGCAGATTACATCTACAGAAGAACCTAAAGCATTTTTTCAGACATTTGTGTATATATTGAATCATGCAACATTTCTTTTGATGGGTCCAAAAGAAATTTTCAATGGAAAGATGAGTGCATGCAGATCAACGAAGTTACCAAGCATTACGTTCCACCTTGTCCCCAGATACCAGCTCAACATCCCTTGGAATGTAATTTGGAAATTTCTGACTCTTTCAAGTCCTATAATAGTCTTTGCTCAGTGGAAGAGCGAACTCAAACTTTGGCACTCTAGGACCAGAACGAGCAGTCAGCGCATGTCAGGACTCAGGAACTGCTCGCTGTAGGCGGGGCACACCCCAGCCAGGGGCTGAGCCCCACGCACGTTGCCAGGGAGAAGGCGTCCGCTGAGCCCGCCCCTCCCACCCCGCAGTCCCCAGGCACAGGCACAGGCAGCAGCGGCAGCAGCACTGCCTCCTACCGGTAGGGCTGGCTCATCCTTGTCCCTGTCTGTAGACGACTGCATGAGAGGAAAAGACAAAGACAGGAAACAGAAGTCATAAGTAAGTGGCAGACTGCACGGAGGGCTGACAGGACAGGCGCGAGCAATGAGGAAGATCGAGTCTTTCCTGCTTCTGGGGCAAGTCAGGCCAAAATGTATTTCTTTTTTAAATTTTTTATTAATTTTATTGAGAAACAAATAGCAATGGGACAGTTTCAAACCCAATTAGTAGGACAGTTTCAATAATTAATACACCGCATATTGTTGTCTTCATAGATGCAGACATGATATCCTGTCCAAGCACTATTAGTACAAATCTTTCTTCTCATTGAATTAAGAGAAAGTAGCTGTATATCTATTCTATTTTGTATATACAGATACAAAGTAGTCCTTCCTTTATATCCCCTTTTTTCGTTTAGTTTTGTCAGAGATGGGTATTCCATTGCCATTTAAATACTGTAAGTGCATGAATTCAGCAAAATAACATTCTCTCAGGCTTTCGCAGAGAGCAAATTGGTCAAGCAATGGCCGTGACTCATCCACATGGCTGACACCGACAAAGGATCTACAAACTACTTTACAGGGTTTAAGGCTAAGTCCTGAGGGGACCTGACTGACCTTGTCAGATACAAAAGTTACATTTCTTGTTTATAGGTCTTACTTTATCTTGGTCTTAACCATCCAGTAGAAAAGTATAAAAATGAGATATAAAAAGTAAAGTCATATTAATATGCTGACCTATAAAAGGCTCAAGTCAACAACTTCTGACATTGCCAGTCCTACGGATAACCCACTACTATTATGGACTACTGGACTATATTGGATTATTTTGCCAAATGTATTTCTAGTCAATCTACAATGGTTTACTTAGGCACATGATCCATTGTCCTGAAAAGTCAAAGTCAAACAGTCAACTGAGGTGCCCAGCAAAGAGGTTAGTAAAATTAGCTACGGCCCAGGCAGGCAGGGGTCACCAGGTAGTCAGCAGCGTGGAAAAGGGCCACTCATGGTTACGGAAACTGAACATAGTCAAAATGCACTGTTAAGGGAAAACATATTTTAAAAACATTATCATACTTCATAAAAATAATCAGTAATACTTTGGCATATTTAAGGAAAGAATTCTGCAATAATTGTTTGTGCTAGTGGTTACTGTTGGGAGGACTGCATTAAAAGGAAACCCCCAGTGAAGAATAGAATGAAAACTGAGCAAGTTGGCCCACTGAATAGCAAGACCAGCATCATCACACATGAAATGGAGAAAAACTTCCTTTCCAATTTTAAAAAAAAATTTACTTATTTGGTACAGGGTCTCCATTTGCAGCCTGGACTCGCAGTGGTCCTCCTGACTCAGCCTCCCCAGTGCTGGGATTACAGGCATGTACCACCATGCCTGGTTTCAGTGGCCAGCACAGCATGGCACAGCATGTCTGGGGTTCCAGGGCTGGCATGGCATGTGGTATCAGGGATCAAACTTGGGTCCTTGCACTTGCCAGGCTGGCACTTAGTTAGACCTCTGAGCTATTGCCCCAGCCCCAAATCTTCCTTTTCTCCTGTTCCCAACATTTCAAATTGCCTGTTCTAAAAAGTGGAAATCACTGCCTGGTTTGGGAAGGCTTGTTAGAACACAAGGGCACCAAAGGTCTGCTTATCTGCCGACAGTGCCCTGGGATTCTAGCAGCAAGATCAAACCTGATGGCTCTGCGTTCCCAACTCAAAGAGAACTCCCCTTTCTTTCACAGAATCGGGGCATCATCGGAAACCTCTCTAGGGATATACAAGGGCCTGTGAATGTCCTCATATTTGGACTACTACTTTAATCATTTCACCTAATCTATGGGTCCTTACAGACCAGAAAGCCAGAACTTCTGTCCCCGTCTTGTACTCTGTTCTTGGCTGAAGAGAAATGCATCTGCAGGAACAACCTCGTGGAAAGGGATGACAGGTGCAGAGCTGTTCAAGAACCTTCAGAGCTGCAGGCTCTTTTTAGGTCCTACCATACATGCCATACGAAGCATGCTAAGATGCTCCTATGTACCACATAAAATATACATTTCCATGTAAAGAATTTTCATTTTGAATTTTAAAGTACAGGCTTTCATTTACAATTATCATCCTTAAAATCTTGGAAAGTGAGGAAATTGAATCCACAGTTTGTTTTCACAGAAAATAAAAGTTTTACACAGGGTAAATTTAATACTGAGGGTTTTTTTTGTTGATATTAAACATTCAATTATGCTAATAGTACTCATTTTTGTACATGTGTACTTTTTTACTTTGAAATAACTATAATACACTTTCCCTTCTATTTCTAAATATTTTTATCAGCTTGTGGAAAACCTTTGCATACTGGACAAACAGAAGGGCGTTTCTGAGCACAGCCCATGGGCATCGCTAAGTTTACCTTCAGCTCCTGATTTAGGGCTCCCTCCCTCCTTCCCTCCTACTTGCCCATGACTTCTGTAAAAAGTACTAATAAGAACTATCCTTTGACACCCTAGTTCCCAGAACACGTTTGGCAAAGCTGGAGTGGGCCAGAAACAGTCCTTCGATTTTTTCTGCTCTGAAAGGAGCCCCCAAGCCGGCTTTTCCTCGGCAGGTGCAGGTGCGGGTGCAGGTGCATTCATTTTCTCTCCCTGCACACCACACAGCTCAGCAAATGACCCCACGTTCCTCAGAACCACCCTCCAGGGAAATTTCCCAGGTCCTGAGCTCCGCCAGGGAGCAAGTCTGAACCTTGTGGGCTAAATGGGAAACAAATAATTATGAGCTGGTGGTGACAGTCCAGTGACACCACCGAGCATGCAGGAACAGGATGAATCCCAGAAGGGGAGGCTCCAGCAGAGCAAAAATAATCACCAACTGAGAGCTTGAATTAAAGAAATACTTAAAGAAGCTATTTTAGGAAAAGAAGAGAACACTCAAGCCTGTCTTGTGGTCTGCAAGAAAGACGGAATACCTCCCCATTGCCTACTTTTTTTTTCCCTCCAGCTAGGAGGATCATAAAACATAGTAACTGGAAGGAAAATACTTCGCACATGGATTCTACAAAGATACAAAGTACAGAGAAAGGTCTGAAATTCCTTACAGAATTTCCCACTGTTCAGTGTCACCCGAAGTTCACAGCATTAGCTTTCCTTCAAGCTGATTTGCAGCCACGAATATCCATCAGGATACAGCCTGTGAATTGGCAGATGCACAGATGGCAGCGGGGGCCATTCAGAACTGCCCTTCATGCAGCCCCGTGGGACACACGGCGACAAGGGCTCGCCACGTCCGCCAGCAGTTCCTGAGGCCCACCTGGCTCGGGCTTGCTCTAACTGCATCCTGAAGCAGCCTGCATCCCCGCAATCTGCTGCTGCTTATGTTCAGAATTCAATTTTAAAAGGGTTTTAATTACACTGGAAGCAACACGGGATGATAACAAAGAAACAGTCTTAATGTGCGTGGCCGGTAGGTCTGAGGCTGGCCTTGGAGTCATGAATTTATTTTCAGGACCAGTGAACACCTGTGAGCTTATTCTACTGGATATTACAGAAGACAATTTCTTCAGAAAGAGACCAGGGCAATTTTAATGATTAATATTGGCATTCTTACATGTTTTAATTTTTAATCTTTTAAATTAATCAATTAATCATGCTTATCAGTATACCATCCAATTTTAAAACCATCTATTATTACTTGGTGCATCACAATACACTAAAATATTACTAAGTTGAGCTCTATTAATATGAAAGCCCAATTCTTGATAGTCAGTTTGAAGGCTAACTGTTCTTGTCAGAGACAAGAACAATTTGTTAAGCAGTTCTGTAGCATGCAAAGCAATTCTCGAGGATTAGCGAAAGCATTCTTAGAGTTCTGGGGGCTAGGGGGCCTTGGCAGACCAGAGCAGACCCATGCCCCTGCCCCTACCGTGCTGGCGGGCTTCCCCCGCCAGGGTATGCAGCGCACATCTGTACAGGAAAGCCTTTAGCAAGTCTCTCATTTTATTCCATTCCCAAGTCAGTCATACGCTAGTTCTGTCTAATTGGGCAACTGGAACGATGCCAGCGCTATCTGTGGTCCTTCCTGGAGGAAATCCCGACTCCACATAGGAATTCCACTACTGATCTGATAACGGTTTAGAAAGTGCTCCATTTTTTCCCCTGGATAAAAATACAGACCATCTGGAAGCAAGTTTTAGTGATTCAAATAGTCCTCAAATCCTTTGTCTCGTTTCCTTTCACCTGGGAAAGCCACTGGCTGAGAGCTGATTTTGTGGAACCTCAACTGTACTTTTGGTGTAACCATGTACAGAGCTTTACCAAACAAACAGGCTCTCAGTCCTAGACCTCCGTGCATCAAAAGCCGCTGTATGTCACACAGCCGTGACCCCTCAGGGTCACTCAGCACGAGGACCCAAGCACGCAAAAGTCCTCTCTGCATAGCGAGTGATACCTGGGAATCACGCATCAAATGCATCACCATGGCGGTCTCACCGGCCAAAAAAGCCAAGTGTGAAAATAGAGGGTGATTTTCCTGGCCACAGATTTGGCACCAGACACAGAGGAAAGACAAGCATTCTGTTAGAAATGTTCAGCAAAATACCACTAACTTCTTTCATCACAACTTTCTACCAAGTTTTGTTAAACGTCCTTAAATGAACTATGCCAAAGTCCCACAAGGACCACAAAATCCAGGAAGATAAAGCTAAAAAATACTATTTTGTCATAAATATGATCTAAACCAAATAGGCCTGTGATTTAAATTATTAATCCATTTAATGGACATTAATTTTGCCTCTTTTCCTGAAACAGGTCTCCTTGTGAATGTAAGCTTGCCTTGAACTCGCTTATGTAGTCCAGCATGGCCTCAAGACTCACACCACCACCACACCTGGCGAACTGATGTTAATTTGAGGGTCTTAGAATTTAGGAAGGTTGGATGATGGATGATCTGGTTGATTGTCTTCATTTAAAAGTTAGGTGGAAATGTGAAATAACATTTCCCTTTTCTCTCAACACATTTTTTAATAATAC